AAGGTCTGTTTAGTAGCTGTTTTTTAGTCTGCTTTTTTCTGATCACTTTATTTTGACTTAAAGATGAGGTCAAAGTTCATTCTGGACCTTGGAAACAACAAAAAACATCTGTATAAACAACCTCCAACTGATTTTTCTAAGTTCTTTCTTTCTTCCTTTCCTTTCTGGGCTTCTGTAGAATAATCCACAGACCTCAAGGCAAACAGAGTTCAGGACTATTTCTTTGGTGTAAAGTAGTTCCAGTACAAACAGACCTCGACAGCAGTGGAGTGTTTTCATAGGTTATTAATTTTTAGATGCTTTATTATTTTATTTTCACCCTGGAGCAGACGATCAGAAAATAATGATGTAATTTAGCAGCCACATAAGAACAATGGAGCAATGGGAACATCTTGCCAACAATAACAACAACAGACCTTCACCACCCTCACACCTCCCACATATCGACACACACCAATTAAAACAGCATTTTAAAAAACAAACCATTCTCCATTTTTCTTCTTTTTTTTTTTGGATCAAGTCTCAAAATCAGGCTGATTAAATCACTTAAATGATGCCTCTGCGAACGAAGCTTCGCAGCTTCGCTTCTGACAAAGGTTCAGATCCGTTTGTGTCCAGAACAGAGACTGACAGCTAGAAAGTCAAGCATCCTTCACCTTTAAAGCTCATACTTGACGGTTCATAAACCTCAACAACAGCATGAAAACCTTCACCAACAACTAAACAAGCTACTGCACCGGGTGCAGAGGTCAAAGCCGCAGCTCCCGGCCCATAACCATGACCCCGTGTGACTCGAGATACCGGGAACTTTAATGGGATTTGGCCCTTTCTTGGAGCAAAATAACATTTCGGACTTCGGATTCACAAATCAAACAGACAAGCAGGAAATGTGATTGAGCCATACAAGCTGCACGTAACCGTGACAGAGGCTGCGGCGGAGCGGGAAAAAGAGAGAGAGAGAGAGAGAGAGAGAGAAAGGTTCTGTTGAGAGCGAAACAAGAGATGACAGATGGGCAGATGCAGAAATAATGGTTTGAGAGGAAAGTGATGCAGCTGTCTGGTAATGTCTGTGAGGAAGGAACCGGAGAGAGAGAGAGAGAGAGAGAGAGAGAGAGGAGGAGGAGGAGGAGTGCTAAACGTGTGCTATTAACTTTAAGATTTAGCTGGACTTGGTTTTGTCCGTCGCAGCCAAGTGATGCTCCAAAGCAGATGGCAGAGCCTCTCAATCTTCCTTCGTAGAGAAGTGACCACGTTGTTGCACTCGCAGGCGGTTACACAAGCACAAGCACATACCTCACGCATCTGCTCTCACTTCTCTCTAGCAAACTTTTGCCAAATTAGAGCCAAAAAATATATAAAAAAACACCCAAAAACTCACATTTGGCACCTTCCAGATTTTTTTTTTTTTTGGTTTGATCATTTTTTTTTATTATTTCAGCAGCTAATTGACAAAACAGAAGCAAATGACTCGAGCCCTTTCCAGCAACTGAACATTTTCCTTTCAAGGCTCGTTTACTGGTGTTTGTTACATAACTGACTCAATGAAATGCAAAGGTGTAATGAATATAATTTGAGGTGTGTAGTTGGGCAAAAACAACCCTTTTACGGTCTTATTCCAAGACCAAGACCAAGTGCTATCAATGCAGAGGTTTAAGCAAATATTCAGGCTACGACGCAAGTCAATATACAAGAATAAAAGGTCACCAGCGTGGGTCATCCGTCTGTGCTGCTACAGTGGCAAACAATGAAGCTCATAATCCAAAGAAGAAGAGAAGAGGGAGAATGTGGATCCAATCGTGGCTCAGGAAAAGAGGCCGACTTGGGAAGACAATTTTGCAAAGAGAGCTTGAGAGACGTTGGTTTGTTGGTTAAGATTTGTCAGTGAGTAGACGTACGTCGCAGCAGCAGTCACGTCGTGAGCTGATCGTCCTAAGTTTCTGACAGCAAGAACTTTCTCCCAGGTTATCATCGGCCATCTTTGAACCTCTCTCAGAGCCTGGAGGCAGTCAGGCCTCATTTACATTACATACAAGTCTCAGTTCAGGACAAGACAAGTTTCAAATCCTCATTTCTGTGACTTAGTTGTGACTCAAGTCTTCAGCTCTGTCTGGTCCTTTAAAACCAAAACCAAAGGGCTCCTCCAAGAGCGATTTCGTCCTTGACCAGACTTTACTGGTAGAGGAAGAAGAAGACATGTCTCACTATGAGGAGAAGTGACTTGTTAATATGGTTTATTTTATATCAAAACCAAAACCACCAAAAAATGGGAAAACCACAAAAGTTAATTGCCGCTTAAATGTGGCGATATGCAAATTTTTGATGTGCTGATCATCACGGTTTGATGATATCTTAAAAATCAAAAGTCGTGCATGCTGATTCATCACTCATCAACTGCTTCTGCAAAAAACCTGCATGTGAGAAAAAAGCACCTGAGCCAACTTTCATTTAAAAAAACAATAAATCACACACCTTTTGGCAGCCCTTATTTACCGATCTTCTATGGGAGCGGAAAAGAGAACAAATCTAAATAGATCGTGACACCCCTATGGCACAAGACGGGTCAGGCCTCGTCCTGCTGAACTCAATGCACCTGAACTGTTTCATGCAGGATCCACACAGTGGAGGATTTATACGAATTAGAGTCAAACATTTCAATAAGACGTGAGTCCGACTCTAATCTTACAGCACAGATAGCGCATCACAAACGCTGCAACGTTGATCAACCTTTGACCCGCCCTTTTACAGAGACACACGCTAACTGAACATTAATACACACTGTAGATTGTAAAAGGGCGCAGCCACGTTTAACAGAACAGTAACTGGCTCTGTGTGGTGTTAACATCCTACCTGCTGCAACGCTCAGATGCTTCACACATTTCTGTTTCAGCTCTCACCACAACTGCATGAGCTGATAAAAAAATAACAACAAATAACAAAAACTTTGACATTTCATTTAACTGCTGTTTAATGGAAGGAAAGACTATTACTGTAAACTCACGAGCTGGTTCTTAGTTATTCCAGCGCTTATTTAAATTCTTCTTGGCCACTTGAGAAGCAGCAGTAAACACAACACTGACATTATCACCTTATAAAGTTTCAGTGGTTAACATGTCAGCAAACAGTTGCCAAACTCACACATCGTTCACACACATAGAGCAACATTAGCATCTGTGAGAAGTTGTGTTTTTGGCTCTGTGTTTAGTCTCTACCAGCTCCTGAGGGAAATATCAGCCTCTTTAGCTGCTGAATGTTCGCTAGCTAGCAGCTAGCTGTGTCTCTCTGCTGTTTGGTGCTGTGCAGGTAGGAAACAATGGGTTGATCTGAACTTTCTAGCTAAAAACTACCTCCTGTTACTATTAAAGCTGACTGAGAGCGGTGAGAGTGACGCAAAACATTAAAGCTGCAACCCCTAAAACCTAAATTACGAGCTAAAAAAGACGCTAAAGCGTTAAGGAAAACTCAAGGGAGTGAGTGAGTGTTTTAAATTACATCTACTTTTACATCACACGCAATCAAATATTGATTAATGCATCTTTAAAATAATGTTGACTTTTAACTCCGCACGGCTGGTATCACGTTTCCCTGCCATAAAAGCCGGCTTCTGTGCCATCAATAATGTTAATCTACACCGGGTCACTGCACATTACAGTGAGGTTTAACAGGCCACAGGGGGAAGTATCAGCTGTTTAGTATCAGCTATCAACTAAAAAATGAGTTAATGTGTCTGTGCATGATCAGTATACAGCATGCTGAGAGGAAAAGCAGTATAAAAACTATAAAGGGGACTCTCAGATTATCGTGCAACACGGTAAGAACAGATTGAGACCGTTAGTTTGGAGCACCTGCAAAGACATGATCGAGATCAATCGTCTGCACCAGGACAGATCTTCCCCTCTAATGAATGCATTTCCAGAGCCACGTTTAGTTTAATATAAAGATGTTTCCCATTAATATTATCTCATCTAAATTAACCCGAGGCATTACCCAGAATTAGCAATGTATCCGGATTAAGTTCCTTTACTTTAACCGTAGTGTCAGATTGCCTTCTCATGCTTGAGGCCATAAATGTACAGTTGAGGAAAAAAAAGGAGAATCACGAGCTTTCAGGAAACGAGCTCCAGGTTTCCACGCAACCATTAAACACTTGTCACCTCTTTCTGTCTTTTCGTATTTGTACGTAGAAGTAAACCTAATTAGAAACCACCTTTGCCTGTAGCTGTACTTCTTATCTTTCCTATATGTTTATACTTCAGAATCTAAAACATCATTTCGGTGGACAGATAGGCGCCAAGGCCAGGGAACAACTGATTGGCTTTTTTGGTTTTTCTTGGGTTTCTGCCACTGGATGATGATTATTTTTAACCGCAACTATGAAACTAACAGAGGTGGAGCCTTGAATCCAATTCCACAGGGGAGCATTCACAACATTCACAGACCAACGAAGAAGTGATTTGACTTTTTTTTTTTTTTTTTTAATTTTCAGGACTGATGTCTCTGGGTGTAACGGCAAAGTTGGAGATTTATTCATTTAGGATTACTAGGGGGAAATAAAAGCCTGAGTTTAAAGCAATAAAAGCATGGATGTTCAAGGAACTACACTTGTCACTGATGAACAATGCTTTTTAATTCCTCATTTCATCTATCTTTACGCATTAAATTTACATATTTTCATGAATAAAGTGGATCACAAGTTGAAATGGACAAAAAAAAAAGTGTGTTTAGTTTCACTTAAAGCCCAATTTCTTCACAGAATCAACAAGTTTTAGCAGAAAAAGAAGCTCATGCTTTCCTATTATTGCTTTCACAGCATTATTTCACAGACGTATTTGCAGCCTGTCAGCAAATTCCACATAATGTAAGAGAAATGGAGATGTTGTGGTTGCACGGCAACGAGAAACACCACACAAAAAAACACACTCACCCACACGCAAAGACAGAAATATACGCACACACACACACACACGCACACACACGCACGCACAGGGCCATGTGTTACCCACCACATAGTAGAAATGCATGTCTAGTCGCACAGGTCGATCTCCTGTGTGCACAGCTGGAGGTGTGGATGTGAGCAGCGTCGGTCCATCCAGTAGGAGCATTAGTCAGGACTCTCTCTGTGTGTGTGTGTGTGTGTGTGTGTGTGTGTGTGTGTGGCCCTTCCTCGCCCTCTCAGGTACTCCAAATAGCCCAGATGTTTACAGTGTTGAAAATCCTCTTCTTCTTTGACTGTCTCTCCTCCCTCTGCTGCTTCCTCTCTTTCTAATGCTGCTGCTTCTTCTCTCTTCTCTCCTCCTTCTTCTCTCCTGTACTTGACGTTACTCCTCCCCCCTCTCCCTTCTCTCCCTCCTCTCCCTCCTCCCCACATGACTTCAGTCCCTTGTCCCTCCCTTTTTCTGTTTTGGTTCCACTTCCTCTCAATTTTTTTCTCCCCCCTTTTCCAGCAATTTAATCTCTTTCTTTTTCCCTCCTTTGCTTTGCGAAACTGATCCCTTTCTTTCTTTCTTCTTCTTCTTCATCAGTATTTTTTTGGCAGGTTTTCCGATCATCTTCTCCCCTTGTTTTTTATACGAATTGAGAAACATGTTTCAATTTGAAAAGCACCTTCACCAGGAGGAGAAGCCAGTTTCTCATCTCACTCTTTCGGTCTCTCTGTTGAGTGCAGATTGCTGTCAGTTCTTCCTGTGTTCGCTACAGCCACTGGTGTGTGTGTGTGTGTGTGTGTGTCTGTCATAGATAACATGGCGTGCTCTCCACTGTCAGAAACAGGAAGAGTGGAGCTTGGTAGTTTGGCCCTGATGAGAGAGCCCCCCCCCCCCATGTGTGTGTGTGTGTGTGTGTGTGCGCAAAAAGATTGTGTGTACGTGTGAGCCACTGGAGAGAGAAATGTAATTAAACCCAAGCATTTTATTATGAAGCTGTTACAGTAATCACTCTGCTGAACACACTTTTACACACACACACACACACACACACACACACACACACACACACACACACACACCACTTTCAAAGTGCTTACAGTTCATGGCCTTTACTAATATCTATATATAAACAGATTTAAGTCTGTTTACCCCACATTATCTGTATTACAGGCCCATTAACATTAAAATATCCATGTTATCGTCATGTTATGGATCAACTCATATTGGTTTCTATTTAATTACATTGTGCTGGTTCTGTTCATGGTTTAAGAAATTATATTTGATGCTTCGTGTTTAAAATTCATCAGGATAATTGTTGTCGGGGTTCACACAGAAAATGAAAAATCTAGTTTAATCACAAGCAGCAAAGAACATTTTTTTAATTAATATTTGTCTCAAGGAAATTTAGCATCAACATCACGTCAACTTATGATTTCCTGTTAGTCAGTTTCATCTTTAAAGAGCAACCAAAGCTTGTTTGTGGTTTCACCTCTCAACGTACTGCAGTGGAGTAGACGTGTCAGTGGTCAGTACGTTGTGACATCACTGTTAGGTGTGGTGCATCAGTACAGACCAGAGAGGGTAGTAAACCACTTAAAATACAGAATCTGATTATATTTAAATACATTTTATTTAAAATCAAGTCAGAGAAAGAAAAAAAGATTCTTAAACCTTAAAGATGGCCACTGCTAATCATTCTGCTGTCAGCTCAAAAAACCTGCTTCACCAGTTGATGGTTGTTTGTTGTGCTGGGTTCATTTTTTAATTTTAATATTCTGCTTCTGCAAATTAATTTTAATGCAAAACCCGATTGTTTTTGGGACTTTGGTCGTCCTCAAGTCGTTTCTTTGGCTCATTACTTTTAAAGATTTTCCTTTTGCATTTAGCCTTTATTTTATGGTTGACTGTGTAGAGAAAGACAGGAAACAAGGGCAAAGAGAGAAGGTTATGACATGCAACAGGGGTCTCCTGGGCAGGAAGACTGTGGGTGTTGCGGTTGTGCGGTAGGAGCCTTAACCATTCAGTCACCGGATGCCCCTCGTTACATAATTTCAATAAAATTAATGATAATCTGAACATTTTACAGATACTAAATCTGTAGACTAAATCATGCCTCCAGGTTTTAGCGTCCTACTTTCATATTTGATCTCCTCCCTGATGAAATGTGCAATTAATAACATCTCAGAGCAGGTTTTCATCTAATCGATCAGTTATAGTTTCAAAAAAATAAATCAAATTTCACATATTATCAAATTTGTGCATTTCCTCAACTTCTACAAAGGGAAGCACTGACATCATTCATCCAGTAGATGGCTCCAGAGCTCAACAAAAAGACAGTGAGTCAACACAGAGCAAGAGATACTTGTTCTCTGTGTCCCCGTGTGTGTGTGTGTGTGTGTGTGTGTGTGTGTGTGTGTGTGTGTGTCAAAAGAGGAAGGATGCAATTAACTGAGAGGATGTCATTACAGGGCTGGAACATGAAGCAGCCTTGATAGAGCACCTGAACCCACACTCACACACGAGCATTTGTACTTGTAGACACACTGCTATACTCGTGAGGACCCCCCCCCCCCCCCCCCCCCCCCAACCCCCCCTCCCCCATGAGCCGTAATGTAATCCCCAGCCTCTAACCCCAACCGAAAACCTAATTCCACCCCTCACCCCTAAAACCACATCTTAGAAGCTTAAAACGGCTCTTTAAAGGAAGTGAAGATCAGATAAAATGTCCTTCCAAAACAAACGTCCTCACAAAGTGTAAAAACTATGATATGGTCCTCACAAAGACAGAAACACAGGAACACACACACACACACACACACACACAAAGACAGAGACATCCCTGAGAAGACTGGGGCAGATAATTACAAGAGTTTGTTTTTGCAGTGAACACTGGCTCGTTGTGTTTTGGAGATGAGTGCAGCTAATTATGAAAACATCCATCCTCAGCTAACAGCTAACAGCGTGCACGTTCTCAACGGAAACACAGATACAACTCCAGACTCACCTCAGGGTGGGAACCCGATACTTCTAAATAAAAACCATGAGCTGCGTCGATCTGGATTCACGGATTAAAGGAACATTTCATCCACAGTTCCTCCAAAAACTGCTTTATATATAATCAATCTTTGATTTTCAGCACATGCAAGGAGTGTTGAAGGAGAGTTTCGCTTTTTGGGACCGAAAAACATGACAATGACTCTTTAATTACACACTGCATGGCCAAAAGTATGTGGACAGCCCTGTCACAGTCTTCCAGTGCTCATGATTTAGTCTAGCCCTTTTACTTAAAATTAAAAAGGGATTCTACATATAAACACAAAGATGCAAAGTGTTAATAAAGGGTTTTTTCCCACTAAAAACATACACATACAGTATTGTATATAGCTTGGTGCTTGAATGCACCATTCCTTGAAATCCCGTCCTCTCTTGGACTTCCATGGATTTGCCGTCCACACGACCAAATGGAGCCTCTGGTCCAGGTGGCTGAAGGTTCAGACAGGTAAGGCTTCAACAGGAGTAATACTAATACTTTGCACTAACTAAACTTCATGTTTGTTTGTTTTTTATAAAAAACCAGCAGGATTCAAAATTTCCAAACTTGTCCTTAAGGATGTTCAAGGTTTTATATTTTTTTTTCAGAAACAAAAATGAAATTTGGTCTGTTACACTGGAATCACAGGTGGTTTCTGTCATGTAGAAATGTTTCTTTCATAAACCAGCCTCTGCTCCACGTACATTCAGTATTCAAAATACGTAAATAATGATTATAATCTTCGGATCAAGAGCTTTTAGTTGCCTTCTCACGTTTCACCGCGTCGACAGAAGCGGCCAGTTAACAACACCGTTGTTGCTTCTCCTGGGGAAACTCATTAATAGCGGTTCAGAAAGTAACCTTGAAGACATTCAGGGCAGACAGCACAAACAAAAGATGCAAAAGCAAACATTCACTTTTTTTTTTTTTTTTTTTTTTAAGCAAGAAAAATAATTTATTTATAATGATATAATAATTTCATCACATTGGCATCGCAGAGCTGCGGAGGGAAGCGTTTTTTTTGTGTGTGACGCCACCTCGCAGATACAGATCACACCATTGGATGGGGCAGGGAAACAGAGGTTATTCAATACATACATGGAATATTCCTTTAAATATGTCTTTTTCAATGAGGAATAACAAAAATAGAATAATTCCAATAACTCTGTCTGTCTCTCTTTCTCTGCGTCTCTCTAATTAATCATCTCTGTGTCTTAATACGCTGCCTGTACACAGCCCCCAACACTGGGGTTTAAATTAGGGCTCGGAGGGGAGGTAGGGGGGGGGTGGGGCTTTGTTTTACTTTGCTTGGAGTGGCAGGAGGGTGGAGCTTACCACCATAGGACATCAGTTTTTTGAGATGGGCTGCTTGCCAACTCCATAGTACCCCTGAAATGTACAAACACAGTAAACCTCACCCCTCTGGCACTCCTTAAAAGAAGTAAGATGCTCTTTGGCCCAAATCTGCAGCCACTATCTCTTTCTCTCTCTCTCTATCGCTTTTTCACCCTCTTTCACTCTCTCATAAAGCTGGACCACACAATTGAAAAGTTAGCAACCAATGCAACCCCGAGTTACTAAAAAACTGGGAAACAGATCGTGCTCTTTCAAAAATTTTAAGGGACAAATCTCTGTAAAATGCAACAACAAAGCCATCAATTGTTAAATATGTGATTTGCGATATGTGATATGTGATTCATCTGTGGATTAAAGTGACAAAATCGCTGAAATTTGAACAATATATTGCTTTTTGAGTTTTTACTTTGAGGTGAAAACTGCTGTGTCGTGTCGAGCTACAGCAAAAAATAATCCAATAATCCTGGGAATCACAGCAAAGCTATGTATGGACCTTGCATGGACTTAAGACTGAGGCCTGAATCTGACTAGGAATCCAACTAAATTTGAGACACTCAAAGTTTTCCTTCATTTTCAGACCATCATATCGTCAGGCTAATTAAACACTTCAGCAACCAAGACGAAAAGCTTGAGGCACCGAAATCTGACACTTTTGTCAGGACCTGTCAGGTTTGTCAACTCTTATTACCATGAGTGGACTTTTGTTTTACATGTTTAGTTATAATTGAAAATTCAGATTTCTAAATTTCGTACTCGGAAACAGCAGATAACTGTTCCATTGTGTTTTGTGGCATTTTGTGGGTGAAAGTGCCACAGTGAAGGAGTGAATTTATTACAAGTGAAGTTCTCGGTTCAGTTATCTGCTGGACTATTGCATTTGTTTTAAAGCTTTTGTGCCCATTGTGGTAGATTTCTCTACAGCTTTAACTTGTGTAGTAGTTTATATTTGTAAATCTTTTGCAAATACTGTGATGGCTTGTGGTTGAATTTGTTGTTTTGAAGTTTTAAGCCTGAGGGGATTGTTTGATTTGCTAACGCTGGTCTGGCATCTGGTCTCGCTGTAGTAGCTCTATTCAATATATGTTACAAATTACCGTAAACACGCTGTTCACACAAACTCGGCTTTGTTTATCTCATTCAGATAAACCGTGATCTTTATGTTGGCTTGAAAGGGAAAATCATCCCTGCCAAGTCTCCAACTTCCCTTTTTTACCTTTTTCCACACGGCCAACTTTTATTTGGGTCCCTTAGCAACAGGTCGCTATTTGGCCGCTCCGAATCTGCGGAGACCGACTGTAAAATTAAACCAAATTAATTAACGGGTGATTGCAGCGCTCAAGCCTTTCTTGCTTTCCCATACCTTTTATCACTTAGCGGGGAAGAAAATGAGAGAGTGAGTGAGTGAGAGAGAGAGAGAGAGAGAGAGAGAGAGGGAAAAGCTTTTAACGTGATTACTCCTCTGAGTCACACGGCAGCCGAGGAGAGGGGAGAGAGGAGGTGAAGGAAAAGATGATGGAATACATATAAACTTCGGCGTGGTAATCCCCACATTCAGCAGAATCAAACCTCTGCTCCGCAACCTCATTTCCCCTCCTTCCTCTCTTCCCTGCTTGTCCTCCTGACGACGGGATAATGGATTAAATATTCAATATATTCCTCTTGTCAGCTCTCTTTCCTCTTTATAGAAACGTCATTTTCAATATAATATATTGTCAGCATATTTTAGAGATTGGTAATATAGTTCTGCAGAAATTTCTTGGAGGCAAAGTTGCTCTGGTTGCAGAAATAATCTCACTGGTTGTTTAACCCTCAAATGGGTGGGACTAAGGAACCAGATTTTTTTTCCCACGTTGTAAATAGGAAGAAATGATTGATAACATATTGCTCCTGTTGTAAATTTGTTGCTAGTTGCCCTTGAGGACGACTAAGAAGTTGCAAAAATATGGCACCAAGTTGGCAGTACGGCTCTTTGGCTCCGCCCGTTAACGACTAACCAACCGATGTGATTATTTCTGCCTCCGTGGCCACTCGGTGTCTGAAGAACATTTGTAAAAACTGCAAAAAAGAAATACTTGCATCCCTACAAAAAGGAATAGCAAACCTTTTCACCAGTGTACCCATATGTTTCTTTGTTTATCTGTACCTCTGATTACCGTCCCGTTAAAAGACCTGTCAAACCAAATGTGCTCTGTTGAAGATATCTGCCATCCGTCTACGTAGGATGAAATAAAAACTACACTATTGTTTGTTGATCCTGAACACTCTGAAAACTGAAGCATCATCTCTGATAGCACACTATTTTTATTCCCTGTCGTTATTGTGTGGAAACAACAAATCTCTTCTCTCTTCTTCCCATCCCATCCTTTCCACCTATATGATCTCAGATATGCGATTGCTCTGAGGGAAAAATATCACTACTCTGTATACCTGCATAAAAATGCTAATTTGGGCAACTATTCAGATCAAACACAAATGCTCCCTTTTATACTTTTACTTGTTATTTGGGCCCGATTTAGCAAAGGTTGTGTTTGTGTGTGTACTACCAAGGCAGCTGAAATAAAAAAATAATTATTATAAAATAAAACAAATAAAACAAAAACAAAACACACTAGGCGCTGCAGCAACACGCCCATAATTCAGTATACAAGGCAAACAAACACAGAGTTTTATAGGTTTATCTTTTTTCATTCACTAAATATTTAAAACAAGCGTCACTTGACTAGTCATCATAAATGGTGATAATTTATGCATTTTTAAAATTTTCATCTTTTTTTTTTTTTCAGGATGATGGAATACCTGAAGGACTGTTGTAGGATGTGTGTGACGGAGTTTTTTTGTTTTTTGTTTTTGTTTTTTTTTTTACTCTCCTGTTGTTGTGTGTATTTCCGTCCACTAGGGGGAGCTCTGACTCAATAGCACCGAGGGATAGTTTGCCGCCTTGGATTCAGGAGATGAGAGGTTCCCTCCTCCCTTCTACATGGTCCAGTTCATGCAGGGGGTGGGGGGGGGGTAAGTCAGGTGTTAGAGCTGAACCGGTCTTTAATCCAGAATGATCGGACCGTCCACACTGTGATCCAGAACCGAGGGTCGGTCCAGGATCAAAAATAAAATCCACAGGGTGTTTCGTTCACAGTCCAAAAGTCAAGGTCCTTTATGCAAAAACACATTCAAACCCCTGTCTGTTTCTGTGTTTGTGCACAGATCCTATCCACTCATTCATTCATGCATTCATTCATCCATGTTCATCCCATCTTACATGGATACTGTAAAGGAAGGTAAAGAAAAAAGTATAAAAACTCAATGAGCAAGAAAGAGAGAAGGCAGAAGATAAGCGCTGATAGAAATATGTTTATGCACTCTCAAGCTAAGCACAGCGTCTATTTTCTTAACAGTCATTCATTGACATTCATCCGGTGTCGTGTCGTCTGCCGAGCTCAGATGCATAGACTGAATGCAGAGAGGAGGTGAAGAGGAAGAGGAGGAGAGAGCAAAGAGACGGGAGAGAAGAGAAGAGGGAAGGTTAACGGAAAATGGGAGCGGGTCAAGGAGAGGATGGAGAGAAGGTTAAAAGAGGAAGGGAGCGGTGAGGAGATAAAGAGGTGGTGCTACGTGCAAAAACAGAGAGAGGTTTGCGTGTATATAGGGGAAGAAAGAGCAAGAGAGTGTGTGCTATGTGCCAGTAGAGGAGGTAAGAGAGCAATGATGCTAAATGGAGAGACGGCAGATGGAGTGTGTGCTCCAGCAGTGATCAAAGGAGGAGGAGGAGGAGGAGGAGGAAGGGCAGCGCAGACAGCCACCTCCCATCCCCTCTGAGATGACAATGAGATGTGCACGGAGGAGGTGCAAAACAAACAAAAACTATTCGACCCTGTAACGTCACTCTGCAACACTGCAGACGGACGGACAGACGCAGGGAGGGGATTTCCAACAGGCAGCTCCGAGAGGCTTGACGTCTCAAGACTCCCTCGTTCCAGATTTCCCTAAACTCTGCCAATCATTCCCGAATCCTTTAGGTTTTCTGGCGCGCTTTTGCTTCCGCCGTCCGCCGGTTCCCAAATCCTCTTGAATCTGGAATGCTCCCGATTCCCGATTACCTGTTGGGTTCCCGAACCTTTGTGGTTCCATAACGCGAGGATGAAGCGGGGAGGGGCTAGCTTAGGTCATTGTGATCCTATCCCAAGACAAGTGAGGGGTGGGCGTACGGGTTGATGATGCGAACACACAAACCCACACACGCACACACACACACTTAGTGAGGACGTGCACAACAAAATGCCAAACACATGAAGGACACATGCATGCACTTTCTCTCTCTCGCTTCTTCCCAATTTGTTCTTGGCACTTCCCCTCTGTACACACACATGGACACACACACAAACAAGTGCAAACACACACATATGCACCACTAGGTCCCCTCTGGTCTGTTTGTAGATTTTAACAGTCCTTTGGTCCCGTCACCAGAGACCAAAATGAATAAAAACCCTGTTTAATAACCAGGCCTGCTTCATACTCTCCGTACAGAAACTCCACAGGCATGATTTCGTCTGCGCACACACTCGAATGGACACACACACACGCGCTTGTGTAGATAGGTTTGCTCTGCTTCTTGTCTTCCATGGCATTACTCCTCAGTCTTTGTGTGTGTATTTCCGTGTGTGTTTTCCCTCCATGGCGTGGGCAGTTTGAAGTCCAAGCTGTTTGCTGCTCTGTACACTATTTTTAGTCTTGCCTGCAAATGATCGTCGTGGATAGATGCGCAACATTTATCTTTGTACATGATACATACAGTACAATCCAACTGAACATGTACAGAATATGGCCACCTAGCATGTGTTGGAAAAAATATATGCAAAAAAAAAAGAAAAAAGATTGACGAGTTCCTCAAGAACAAAACGCAGCGACCGCCGTGTAAACGACGTCCAACGCCAACGGAGAAAAAAAAGTGCTTGTGTTCCGAAATGTCGTCCATTTGCCGGGTTGCCTCCGTGGAATGTTTTGTGTTCCTAGAATGAGCAACGAAAACTGTGACATGCTCATGCCTCCCCTCGTCTTGTTTGGGGGCAAAAACCCCCCCCCCCCCCCGTGTGGTTTCTCTTCGTAAACCCCCTCCACTTCGTCTGCTCAAAACGGAGAGTTCTGTCTATCGGAAATGACAGTGCTGATGCCTGCCGTTGTCACCGCATTTACCGTAGAGAGAAGACAGAGCCGCGGTGTCCGAGATTTTTAGGAGTATTTGCTCTCTCGGGTGCCTCGTCACACCGGTAATGATTTACCCTTCATTTCATAGGTCTACAGGTGTCGGTGCTGTAGTGCTACTGGCATGGAGGGTTTTGCTTCGTAGACGAATCATTTGAAAGTCTCACGTCTTCTGTGTCTGATTCCGTGTGTTTCTTGGATTCATTTGATTACTGATCTTCTGGGCCATCCTACTAGCGGATCAGTGTAATTGGTTACAGATTCAGACACGTTAGCCATTGTCATCATCAGGGACTTTTGTTGTCGTCATCCAGATGGAGCTAAGAGTAAAGATATCCACGGTACAACTTCATATTCCCCGGCGTCTGCTCCACCCATCCATCAGTACATCCAGCCTCCCCTACTGAAAACATTCCCAATGAGGAAAACATGGTGCAGTGTTGAGGCATGACCTCAAAGCCTCCACCTTTCGTTGAAAATATAGTGAGAACAACCTTTTGTTCTCCACAGCTTTCTCGCTTTCCTAGAGGGACAGGGAACAATTGCGCTCCAACCATGGGAGGGACCATTTTGTCCAAAAGTGTGCTCCAATTTGATTGGACAGTGCAAATGGTCAATCAGTAGTTGGAGCGATCTGGTTGGACACGTTAGTCAGAAGGCCCCATCTGCAGTGGGTGGCGCATTGTAGAATTGGTTGGTAGCTTTGTCGACAGCAAACGGTACCTGGTTAATGATACTGTTAACGATACTTCCGTTCATTGATCGTTGGGTTTGCCGTTCCCGGACGTTGCCTCTCCTCCCTCAGCGGTCGACGATGTGGTGGTTGAGAACTCCGTGACCCGTCGCGCCAGAGGGTTTGTGCTTTTGAGAAGCTCCATGGCGGAAACTCTGGCCCCTCCGCTGGAAGACTTGCTGCCTTTCTTCTGAAGCAGGGCCATGAAGTTCTCGTTGCGGGAGCTTGACCTCTGACTGCTGCCTAGGGTCAGGTTTCGGATATCGCTACCGCTGGTGCTGTGCTTCACCGGGGATACCAAGCTCTGGCGGCTGCCGAAGGAGTCGGATGGCTCCTTACGACCCAGAACCTTTCGCTTCGACCTGAAGGTAAGATAAGATAATGGGAGACAAAGAAAGCAAGTTTAAATTCCCCGTTTGCAGCTGTTTTGATTAATTACTTCCAATTTACGACTCACGCTAAGACTGACATCTCTTCTTTTAGAGAATGAATCTAAAAGGCGCGACATTAAAAGGGATTCCTTCCTTTCTTGTAAGAGATGAAAACATTGACTCTCGTTCTTCTCCTCACCCTTTCTTCTCTGCCTTTCAAACTATTTTCAGCATCATGCAAGGTAAAAATCATAAACACTTGTTGCTTAGAGACTAGCTTCCTTTGTGATTCTTTGTGTCTTTGCGTCTATATACGTGTGTGTCTGAGAGAGATTCTGAAAAAAAAAAGAAAAAAATAAAGGACAAAAAAAGAGCCGCTGGTCGTGCAGTAACCCGTTGTACGTGTAGCCGTTGCTAGGGAACCTTATGTTCTGTCCGCCTCACACCTTTTCAACAAGACAATGCGTTTTTTCGTCACATGTTCTGGGTTATAATAAGCTCGGTGATGGCTGAGAACAACTGTGCTGTGAGAATTCAAGATTCCAACAGCCTTTAGAGGAAATGCGTCTGTTGTAATCATAATATAGTACGGTATGTCTGAAATATGCATTGGATGTCTGGTATGTGTGTGCATTTTCAAACCTGTGTATTATAGTGAACAGGTCTTCGGTGGTGTGTGTCGTAGGTGTGCTGGCCAACAAGTCGTCATCAGTTTCCTCGGCGATGTGCAGCACCGTCTTCTCATTGGAGTCATCTGGACGAGACAGAGAAATCATATTAAAACATATTTTCGATAAATAGTAGTAGTAGCTTTGTGGCCGTTTTACCAAAGCCATTATTATTTATAATATGAGTATACATCCCTTGCAATTGAAGGTAATCCCACTCAATTACAACCAGGTAATAATGAGATAATGATGATAAATATCATCTTCACTGTTACAAAACAGTAGGAAACACTGTGTTTTGGTTTGGTCCAATTTGAGAGCAATTGAGTTTGATTTGCTTCAAAACGTGAGAAATCTCCTCTGGCAGAAGAAGGAAGTTGTGCATCAAACGCAGCAGGGAAGGATCCTAATCAAATGTTGCAACTCTCACAGGCTATCATTAAACACATGCATATGAAATGATAAGAAAAAGATTAGGAGTTTCACAGCTTCCTTCAAAGCAAGACTAAGATCAAACAGTATTTATTAGCTAATACGTGTTAGCAAAATACTATATATATAGTTTTACTAGAGGTCAAAAAGTGCTTCATTTGTTATACATGATTTCTAAATACACAACCACACCTTGAAAATGATGATTATTGGGTATGTACTACTATTACTACTCTGTGGCTAGCAAAGTCAATTTACGTGCTGCAACTAAAATATATAAATAAGAGACGATGGACGTTTGGATTGCATGACTTTTCAGCATTTCAGCCAGGACCACTTTTGTCAAAAACAATTTATATTCCAATCATTTCATAATTGCAATAAGTTATACTTGGTCACCCACTGGAATCTGTCTGACTACAGCTGGTCCTTTTGTTTCTTTTGCTATATTTCTATATTATAAATGTGTAAAGTAAGGTTGGAGCTAGAGCGTAGAAAAGGTTTAGGCCTTTCTTTAACATTGCAAATCATGTTTAATACCATGTGACCCCTGTGTGGACACACCTGCCCCAATCGTAGCGCTGGCCACCTTCCCTTCCAGCTCTGTGAGAGAGGAATCCTGCAGAGATGACTGAAGTGACGACTCTTTTGAACTCTCCTCGTCTGTTCCCAAGTGGTTCTCTTCTTGCTCCGGCATATCTGGCGCACCCGGAATATCGTCCGGTGGGAACGCTCCAACGGGAGACCGAAGGCCCACGGGGCTGTCGGTCTGCGGCGTCTGTCGGTCTGTGCTGCCATTAGTGGAGGAGTGGACAGACGTGGGAAGAAGCAGAACATTTGGCTTCTTGGGGACTGGGGGTGGAACCTAGACAGGAAGTACAGTGTTTTCAGTGCAGCAGTAAATCTTGGACAGGAGTAGAATTACTTAAAAATGAGAAGATCAGTGACTGTGACAATCTCTACCTCTAAATATTGTACTCTGACACTGTTTATTGATTAAATGACTTTAAGCACAAGCATTTCCTGAGAGGGCTCTTCCTCACCTTGGGTTTCTTTTTGTCTGACAGCTCTGCCAGACAGGAGATTGTCATCCTTGAGGGGAGTGTCTTGCTCTTGTCCTGGAGCTCCGGGGCCTCCTGGGAACTGCAGGGAGAAGGGAGGGAGCCTCCGTCCTCAGGCCCAAGCCGAATCTCTGGGTCGGCCTCAAATTCAGGCTCTAACGCTGGGTCCTCCAGGAGAGGCTGGGGGTCCGGGAGAGGTGGGAGATCAAAGAGAGACTGGGAGTGGGGGAGGAATGGATGATCGTAGGCAGTTTGTGGGATGGTGGTGGAATTTGAATCTGGGAGGCCTGACGGACTTGTTGAAGTTTGCGGTGGAGGTTTTTTCGGTTTGGGTTTTTTCATGACTTTGTAGATGTTGCCCAGGGGCACAGGCCGGTCCACGGGTGAGGCAGGAGGTGAGTCGAGGGCAAGTGGGGAAGTGGAGGATGGGGAAGGAGACTTAAGGAGGAGGTTAATGGGCCGCTTGGGCAAGGGGGGCTTGATGGCGACAGGTGGTTTGGGTTTTGGTAGAGTGGGCGGAGGGCTGGGGACTTCGCCGAAGTCGCGGCCATGCTGTTCTTCTTCAATGGTGTCTGACGCACCATCGGGGCAGTCCTCCAGGTCACCGCGAGAGACGGAGCGAAGACGAATTGTCTTCAGCTCGTTCTGGGTAACCATAGGTAATGCCTGTGAAGAGCTGGGGCTGATTTTTCCTGGTTTCGCTGCTGTCGAGGTGTCAGAATGACGTCTGCTGGCCTTTTGCTTTGGCTTGATTGATGACAGCTCCAGATGTGCGTTCCCAGGCATCTCAAAGGACAATCTAGACCTCGCGGCGGGGTCCTTGGGTGACGGTAGCGATGATTTTCTCTCTGGGATCTTCGGGCGCATCTTACACCCTGTCCCTAGTGTTCCCTGACCTGCCACTTGACTGAGTGGCACAGTCGGGGTGGGAGTCTCCGACTGGCTTGAGTAGCCACTTGATGGGGACATTAGTCCTGGGGGTTTGAAGGGTGAGGATGCCTTGATGTCAGTTTCCATGGAGAGCTGCGAGGGCGAGGTGGCTCTGGAGGTGGACGGAGAGTCAAGGAGGGACTCGGAGCTGCCTCTGACTTTCATACATTCAATCACTGTGGTACCCGTTGCTGTGCTGGATCCTGATAGAGACCTGGAGAAGAGAACAGAAATCAGTGCATTTCTAAACAAAAAACAAAACAGAAAAGAATCAATACCTGCCACAAACATAAAGTGTAGTTTTATTTTCTACCTGTAGGGGTCATTCTTCCACTCCCCCAGCTGCCAGTGAGTGGGGAAGGTCAGCTCCGTCTCTCCCTCCCTCTCTGGTGCCTGAACCTCCAGGCTCGGAGGTCCGTCGCTGCCTCCATGGCCCAGTTCCCTCTCACTAACACTGGGTTTGGAGGAGCTGGACGAGCTGGGCAGGAGGAAATCAGGCTGGAAGTCTGGGAAATGGTCCCTGGGGATGTGCAGGCTCTTCGGCCGCCCATCCCGGTAAAGAGCGCCTTCGTGGTGGATTCTTCCCTCGGCCTCTCCCAGGTTCTTCATCAGGGAGACGCTCCTCACGGGAGGCGGAGGCTTGCGCTTGGATTTCTTAAGCGAGATGGAGCGGGAGCGAAGGCGCAAGCGGCCGTCGGCGCTGTAGTCCGAAGCTGTGACGGAGATTGTATCGGTGGTGCTGGCGCTGTCTTCGGAGCTCCCTCTGGGGTAGAGGAGGGCGTAGTTCTCACTCAAACCCAGGAAGTGGTGATGATGTTGTTGGTGGTCCGTCATAGCGCTCCCGTTCCCCGTAGACATGATGTTCCCGTCCGGCTGGCCTACACCGCCTTCTGTAAAGCAGAAGGAACCAGAGTCTGTGGGCGTGGAAAGAGAACGCTCCCGGAACTTGAAGGCGTTCTGTGCTGCTATGGACCGTGCAGACCTCTCCCTCCCTCTCCCCGGCTCCCCAACTCCTCCTCCTCCTCCTCCTCCTCCTCCTCTCCCTCCATCCGCTGCAGCCCCTTCCGTCTCGCTCCGCTTCCCCATCATCGCCGCTGCCAGCGAAATCCCCGGCATCATACTCCCTCCTCTCCCCGAAGGATCCGTCACGGACGTGAAGGAACTGGAGTGCGAGCTCACCGACTGTCCTGAGCCCACCAACATCACCCCGTCCTGCGCCCCTCCCCCGGCATTACCGATGATGCTGTGCTGTTTGGGAGGAACCGCCGGGCCCTTGTTCATGGTGTAGTTGTAAGGCTCGTTCCACGCCCCGGGAGAAAAGGTGGAGCCCTTAGGTCCGTTCCAGGAAGAGGAGGGTGTGTTTGAGCACAGCAGCCCAGAGTGGTCCATAGTGCCTGGGTGAAGTTGGTTTGGAGCTCGCGGCTCTAGAGTATTATCTGCGGAGGAGAAGGGGGAAGAAGGAGAATTAACACAGTTAGACTTAAAAATAAAAACTCATCACCTCCTCTCTGCCTCTAATCACTGCCTGTAATTAATAACAATTCAAAATAAGGTTATAAAATGTTTAGAAAGGGTCATGGGAATGGGACGAATTAGAGAAATATAAGCGCACCTTAATTCTTAATACAAAATCAATTCAACCGTCAGATACGTGTTAAGCTCTGCTTTTTCTCGCCCGTCTGCAGTTCAAGGCCTTATTCAGGTTAAACTGTTTATTTGAACCCTTCATACCCCGTGACTGAGTATCGCTGTTGCAATGAATAAACCAATTAGGCATGAAGAGATCCTGGCTGTCGGCAACACCGTCCTTCACTGAGCAAAACAGGTTAGTGCAAATACGAGGGGGAAAGAAATGATTAACCCCACATTAATCTCTGTGGGATTTTTTATTCTTTTTTTTTTAATTAAATTAAAAAATTTGGTGGGTGAAAAGCAGAAAGGGAAATGATTAAGGTGTTTTCCTGTCTGAGTGACCCTCTTTTAATGCGGGATTAAACTAAGCAGGAGCGTGAACATACCCAGCCGACACAAACCGGGCTACATCTATGGGAACTGACACAAAAAACGCAAAAGACACGATTTACGCCAAAATAAAATCATCTGTGTCACCAAAAAAAAAAAAAAAACTTGATTCAAAGTTGCGGAAAATGTACAAAAAGTTAGCTGCCCATGATCTCTGCCTTCTCCAAAGTTATCAAAGGAAATGGGAAAAGTTAACAGCACAAGTTTCTGTAGCCGACGCCACCGGAGTTTCAGCTGACACTGGGGGAGCAGTTAATGAGTAGAGAAATTTCATTTTGAAGTGACCTGCTCCGTTCTTTTCCCTCTTCTCTGTCTTTGGCTGACGGCGGTACAGGAGTTTATGTGAGCAGTAACGAGATCTGCACCACGGGAACACACACACACACACACACACACACACACACACACACACACACACACACAAAAAAAAGAGGAAGCAACTGAAGAAATAAACAACATCGGAGGAGGGTAGGAGCTTCCTTTAATGGTCGCACGCACCTGCGGGTAAGGTCGCGTCGAGGTCGGAGTGCGTCTTCCTCAGGGGGAGGTTCTGGTGTGGGGTGTCGGTGACGGGCTCCAGGGAGTGGGGCTGGTGGGGGAAGGGGTCCCCTGGAGAGGGGGATGGGGACGGGGAGTGCTGGAGGAGGTCGACACCGTGGAATTTCCCTCCTCCTCCTCCACCTCCTCCTCCTCCTCCTCCTCCTCCTCCTTCACCTGAAGAGCAAGAACAAGGGAGGTCAGAAGAGAGGGAAGACTCGTTTTCCTGGACATGCAGTAAATTCAATAAAGCATCAAATCCAATCATGTTTCTGACATGGCAATAAAGTATTAGATTATGACTCTTGATAGATAGAGATGTGTAGAGAAAAATCTGATTTCGTGAGCATCACCTGATTTGAAAGGTGCAGTGTTTTTAACTCACATCCTTTAAGATGCTGAAGACAAATAGGATTTATTATTTTATTAAACTCAGTGCGTTTAACCAGTTATTCTAAAACTCAGGTTAAAGTGTCATTTTAGTGCGAAACAAACACACGAGTCAGTTTTTTTTGTTTATATAGCACCAAATCACAGCAGAAGTTATCTCAAGGCGCTTTTCAAACAGAGCAGCTCGAGACCTTTTCTTTAAAAATCTTTCAAAATGCGATAACTTTCCAGGCATGTCTGTTAAAATAAGAGATTTTCATTGATTAAAATTTAACAACGGCTTCACCTGCGCGAGTGATCGTTTTTAATTTCTGGTTTCTTGTGAAACCGAATGAACATGAATCTTTTTCTCCTCCATTTCCCCCTTAATTTGTCTTGTGTGAATTTCAGCTGTTTCCTTCCTGTTTTCCAGCCTCAAATCTCCACACCCTCCGTCGCTTTCCACTTCGCAAAGCCAGAGTGAACAAATTAAAGCCTGTTACTAATAAGTGTGGGTGAAAACAACAACAACAACAACAACAACAACAACAACAACAACAACAACAACAACAACAACACTCAGGAGGGTTGAAAATAACTCATCATCATCAGGAGAGTTGGTGACTGTGAGCAGTTCACTGACATTAATGATTTCTGGATTTCCCGTCACATAGTTTCCTGAAGTCTCCTTAAATCAACAGGTTTGAGGGGGAAAAAAAAAGAAGAGGACATCCAACTGATGTGATAAACAGCCTTGCTTTCTTTTTCTTACTGTCACCATAAACCTTTGTGTTTATGTTGAACACTTCCTGCCGTCATGTTTTAATCCGGAATGACTCGGAGCAGACGCCGCAGAGAGCCCTGCTGTTCTGTTGTACTTCCTGTCCTCCCGATGTCTTGTCCGGACAGACAGTAATCCAATGAGTCATCGCAGGCAGCAGGTACTCACTTGATTACCTCAATGACATGCAGTGCAGTCTCTCACCCATCTGCATAACTCAGTCAGGCTCCTATTAAGCCATCAGCCGTGTTTTATATCCACAGTCATAACAGATGCAGTCGACTGCTAAAAATTTATCTCCTCCAACTAAACGGCGCCTTTAGCAGTTGTGTTTTCCTCAGTGAGTGAAGACTGGGATGTTAAATCAGATGCAAACACACACACACACACACACAAAAAAAGAAAAAGAAAAGAAAAGTGCACCAGCATTACACGACGAGCGCCAAAACAAACTGAGCCAAAGGAACAATGGCGAGTGTTGGTAAGCAGTCGAAATACAGAGCGCCTGCTTTTTGTTTCCCCGTGAATCAACCATTGTGTAGTCGAAGTCAATAACCGCCTGTTGTGCTGATTATGAACCGATGTGACAAACTGAAAAACCAGAGACTCAAGAATCGCATAGATAAACACAAACAACTCAGCATCCGTCTGTCTACCTGTCTGTCGCCGCTTCAGGGCTTCAGACTCACAAACGACTCCACGCCGCCTTCCTTCCTTCCGTTTTTGTTTCTACTTGTGTTATATATCCAAGCACTGGACAGCGCAGAATTACAAATGTTTGAGCGATCTGAGAGACCAGAGAGCAAGCTAATAGCAGACATGATGATAATTAAGCTGAACGGATGCGGCATTAGGCCGTTTTCAGAACAAGACTCCAAGAGACACAAAGTCTGAGTTTCGTCACACGGCAAATCACATCACAACTTGTTTCTCTGTTGCTGTCCAGCTTAAAGTCCAAATCCATAATTCAGTTACATAAATTAAAATAAGTGGTTTGTGTCTCTTTGTCGTCATTTTGTCTCCCTTTGTAATTGTCTGACATCTCTTTCGTTTTGTCGTTCTGTGTGTCACTTTGTCACTTGGTAAATAATATACGGATACGCGTGAAAATCATTTGGGAGAAAAGTCTAAAATAAAGACTTTGCAGTTGTTTGGATTAAACTTTCTCCAGAGTGTTAGCCAATCAACAAACCCCTTGAAAATGTGAGTAGGTTTTACAATTAAAACATGGCTCTGGAGAAGTTAAAAAGTAGAAAGTAGAGCTGCTTTACAATTCACACAGTTTTATGTGTAGAAAATCTTTTCAACTGCATGTCTCCATATTAATAATCAAGGTTGGCTGGGAGTGTGTCGACACGGCAACAGGTGATGAGTTTTTTGCAGAAAAGGAATATTGGAAGCCAGAAATCTCATTTCCCGACTAGATAATCATTAAATCTGTGATTTATCTGAGAAAGCGTCAACCCTGGCTGATGAATCACGGCCATTTTATTTTATCAGAGAGAACAGGATCTTTCCAGGTCTCTTTAAAATTTGGGGATCTTCCCACTCATCTTTCTGCTTCACTCGCTGAATACCTGCATCTTTCCCCCGCCCGTCTTTTCTATCTCTCCATCTCTCCAACAAGTCTGTTCACCTCAGTCATTCAATTTTACAATGATCTGTCCGTTTAGCTCATTCACCGAGTGGCGTTCGATGGCCGTTCCCCTCTGTGCATGAATAAATAAGAGTGTTTGGGGCCGGAGCTTCCAAAGCCATCCAGCAGGGACTAAGCTATGACTCAGCCACTGAGCGAGGCTAAATATAACTTCCCTCCTAAATATGACAATTTTGGAGCTTAAAGTCTTGGACAGCAAACACGCAACACTGATATGTGAATACAGCCGCGTTCGTCTTCCTGTCTTCCTTTCAGAGCTTTGTCCTCGGTCTCGATCGACCTCGCCTGCGATCACGCAGCCTTTCGGAGGTTGAGAGTCTTTGTGTTGCTCCTGCAGCCATAAATAATGGACACTCTTTCAACTATCAGCAGCATCATATTGTCTCTTCAGTATGGCCCTGGCTCCGCTGCTTTCCTGTCTGCTGTGAGTCTTCAGGCGGATTGTTTCATAATGGTATAAGTACACGTGTTGGACTCACATATGTAAGTTTTAATACTTGATTTCTCATGTGGACATCATGCCTGTTTTCACAATTAAACGTCAAAATACTGCGCAACCTATTGTTACTAAATGATTCATTTGGGGTGGGGGGGGGGGGGGGTGCATGAAGGCTGTGTAATACGATCTAAAAAAAAAACAGAACAAGTAAGTGGCTTTTGAGTGGAGACTATTTTGTCAACAGCTGTTTCCAAGGTCAACAGGGAACCGTCAACCTGAGAAAACCATGAGAAAATCATTGAGATGCTCAAAATCAATCCAAAAATCTCACATTTACAAACGAGCAGAACTATGTCTGTTGATGGAGACCATGTAATGCAGCTGAAAGCTCCAGAACACACAAGGATGTGAAAAATAATAACTACATAATAAAGGTTAAGGTTAATATCAGCAGCCTCACCTGAGTTTGTCAGGGTGATAAATGGCACCTAAAGACGGCGGTGACGATTTCAAGGTCCCTCATATACAATCACCCGACTGAAGTGTCTTTGAACACGGCAATAAATCTCAACGAGCTTTAGATTTGCCGCTTTGTCGCTGACCCCGATCTCCCCCGAGGAGTTAAGTGAGAAGACGCTTCGTGGCATTTCAGAGTGTCATGACGTTCAGGGCTTAGTGAGGCTTGACCCCGACCACAGGAGAGGAGATGGGAGAATTACCTTCATTATACACGGTCAACCTCAAATTTAACATATTTGTTCCAGCGTCCACTCTGGAGCTTCGTTTTTAAGATCAAAATATAGCTTCTTATTTGACAATTAGAGATGCATTTAAGTTGCCGCCCGGTGATGGGCCCATGTTGTCACAGTTTGGAGCCAACACTATTTGCCGCAGCTCTGAAAAACTTCCACCAACCCGCTGTCAGATTCCCAGTAAAGTGAGGCGTTCAAGGTAAACTGAGAGGATTAGACCGTCTGCAGCTCGGCAGCAGCATGAATGCCCGTCTGTCTCTCGTTGCTAAACTCCACATTCACGAGTCGCCCGCCTCGTTCACCGACTCTCAGCGCGTCGCATTCAAGAGTGCATTCACAAAATGCCTCGTTTATTGTCTGACATTCTTTTCTTTTTTTTTTTTTTTGCTTTTCAATGACAACATTTGCCAGCTATTTTCTTGCCTGTCTGCTGCAGTTGTTTACGCTTTTTTTTCCCTCCAAATTTTGGACAAAAATTTTGGTTTAACTAAAAAGTATCTCCTGCACACTGATTCCAACTGTGTGTTTAGCCTGATAACATTTCTGCTTGTGCTTCTGTTTGTGCTTTGCGATGTCACAAGATGCTTTTGTTCCAGTTTACAGCTACGAAATTCCCATTTAGTGACACAGTATCTCCGTGTTTTTGCAATTATATGGTGGACTGTTTTACATTTAGGACAAGATATCACCAGGGGCTCTTTAAGTGATGTAATTACATGCCTGTAAAGTTAAAAATAAAACATAATTCCTCCTCAAAAGTAACTAAAAATATCCCTCGAATCAAATCAAGAGGATGGAAACAGATCCACGAAAAACAATAACTAAATAAAGAGCGGTACATTTCTTACCCTGTCAGCCTGTCTGTCTCTCAGCCTGCCCTGCATTCACATTTTCACAGCTTACAACACTTCAGTCATTCATGAAAAATTTGCCCGAGCGAGACGAGCGGGGACGAAGAAGACAGAGGAAGAGGAAGGAGGGAGCTGTGACACAAAATGTTCTCTCATTATCCTTCATTCATTATTCCTTCATCCTGTATCCTTCCATCCTCCTTTCCTCTCCGTCTGTCTTTCCTCAATATGCATTTTCTCTCTCTCTTCGTCTTCCTCTTCACTGTTCCTTCCTTCCAGGCTTCAGTTTCACTCACACGCACTTCCTCTCTTTTCCTTCACTGCTGCTTTTTTTTTTTTTTTTCCTCTTTCCCCCCCCTTTTTTTTTTTTTTTTTTTTTTTAGGGAGGAGAGAGGAAGAGTGGCGAGTTACCATGGCAACAGCAAGCTGGCTGCAAGCTACCTGCACGCTGGTTTACAGAGAAAGAGATCGAGTGAAAGAGAGGCAGAGGGATGAGAGGCCGGGTGTCACGGTAACAAGCTGAATAAGTTGTTATTGTTTTGGTTTTTAGTTTTTTTAGTTTTTTTTTTTCTTTCCTTTCAACAAATCCAATGAAAAGACCAAAAATCAACAATGAGTGGATCCCACTCACAAGTATTTCCTCTGCAGCCAAAAGCCTGATGTATCTCTCACTCCTCGCTGCCACGGAGCTCCATTGTTGTCCAAAAACTTTTCTTTTTTTTTCTTTTTTTTTAAAAATCAATGAGCCGCACTGTTGCCGTGGGTGACATGGTGATTCATTACCATTAACAAGAGCACAGTAGTTTAAATTCAATCAGACCCACAAAGCTACAACAACCTGCCGCTGCAAAAACAAAAAAAAAACAAATGTATGGTTTTCTCCTGTTTGCTGTTTTTGCTTTTCTAGAAATGAAACTATATACTTGTGACGTATTTTATTATTTTAATTGATGTACTTCATTAGAAGGAACCAATGGGCTCGGAGCTGAGAGACACAGACAGGTGGAGGAACTCGGTTTTTTTTTCGTCAATAAGAAATACTCAGAATAACGTCAGTCTTTTTCTCCCTCCCTACATCCCTCTCTCTGGAAGAAGGGAATACCCATTGAGTACAACGCCACAGGCATGCATAATTATACCTGACCTTCTACTCCTCTACACAGTGGGTGAGGAGGGCGGGAGAGGTGGAGTGAGAAAGACCGACAGAGGGGGAGAGAGGAGGAGAACGGGAGAAAGAGACGGAGTGATATTAAAGTATAAATGGGTATGCGTGAGGAGAAGGAGGGGAGAGGCGCCCGGTGACGAAGCAGTTGCTATGCCAAAAAACCCAGGAGGACCACACGCACACACACGCACACACACACATTCACACATGCAAAGATACACGCGCACATATGCACACAAAGTAAACAAGGAGGAAGCTTCGATGAGACAAGTGGAAGAAGGAGTGTCAGAACGATGTTGCAGAGGATGACCACAGCATACTAACAGCTCTGACAGCACACACACACAAAGACAAAACACACACACACACACACACACACACACACACACACAAGTAAAGCTGACTGCCAGAGATGGGTGAGGGCGATAGCGGATGTGATCATAGGGAGAAAAATGTTCTCGACGTCAGATCTCGTTTCTGCCGCGTTTTCTTCCTTAAAGCTCAAACAAACTCGTGTCAAGTGGGAATCTGTGATTGTATGTGTGTCAATGTGTGTGCGTGTGTGTGTGTGTGTGTGCGTGTGTGTGTGTGCGTGTCTACATTGTCCAGTGTAACCTGTGAGTTATGACTTCTGGCACGAATACAGAAACTGTTCAAGCAAAGACGGAAATCTGTGTGCAGAGAATAAAATGTTGAAGCTTTCCTGCTGTTTCCTGCTGTTTTGATAAAATGGTGCATTTCTTTCACGACTTGAGTGGATTTGGTAAAAGACGCTTTTTTATCCAGTTTCTGTTTGTATCATCTCAGTGTAAATGAATTACAGTATGTGTCCTTTTCATCTGGGAAATAATTGATTCTACCTCCAGTGATGCTTCATCTTCTGGGAAAAACACCCTCTACATCTGAAAACGTTTCCGTGCGCCCTCGTTCAAAAATGGCTTCATAAGTGTGAATCTCTTGAGGGAGAAGATGAGATTTGGTGGGGTTTTTTTTTTCCCTCCCTTCTCTTACAGTTAAAAAGAAAAGAAAAAGTGAGTGTGAGAAAAGGATCCATATAAGAGCCAAGTCGGTAACGTCGCAAGCTAGCACCTGGGGACAGCCATGTGTTTACATAAGTTCAAATCAGTGTTACATGAAAACAAAACCATGATGAATACCTGCCTCAATCTTTGCATGGACTTTAACCAAAATAGTTTAACTTGCCTGTGGTAAGACAGGCAATAACAGGACATGTTTACCATTGTTTTGTGTGTTAGCACAGCTAATATTTGCTAGTTAGCACTAACGCAGGCTTTGATATGAAAAGTGAAAGGATCGTTAAAGTTAATATGATTCATCCTTTGGATAACATGAACCTTCAGGGCACGACACACAATATTTTCCAATATTTCTCAAAATATTTCAGTCAGGTGGTGAACCGGCCAATACCGCCGTTGCTAGGGCAACGCTGCAGCTTTCACCAAAACAAAAATCCTAAATATTATAGTCAACACTCACAAAACCTATGAGGGCATGCTGGCTACAATGAACCCAAGAGAATAAGGTGTATTTTATGTATCTGTGTTTTTAATTGTATGCGATGATCGACCGATTGATCGTTGAACACTTATAGAAAGATGGTGATACGGAAACTTCTATTTTTGCATTACTTCTACAACTATGAAGCAGTGACTGACGCAATTCAAAGTCAAATTATACTGATGTGACCTCCGAAGAGACGTAAAATTCACATTTATTTAGCATTTGCCTTCAGTCAAATTCCCCCAAGAGTCTCCCGTTTTACAGCTGACTCTCATAGGAAAAACCCGTTCCCTTGACAGCAACACAGAATGTCATTGAAGGAAAATGTTTTCGGCGTCTGATTTTTGCTCTGAGGCATGAAGTGTTCAGAACAAAGTCACCAGAAATTTTCCTTTAACTACTGACAAAAGAACAAGCTTCGTTTTAACCATATATTCAATCCACATTCACACTGTGTGTATATTCTCACGTCGTGGCGACGGAAGCAATATAACAGCTGATAAATGGTGATTCATTTTTCCAATAGGACCTCATGGGCGATAATCTATTTAATTTTGGGTTATTTGTCAGTGAAACTTCATATTGAGGCCATAAATTCTAATAAAAGCAAGTAAAGCCTGAAGGCAACGGGCTGCAGCCATCACGTTACCAAAAAGCACCTCACCTTCCCCCTGACAGCCCTCTATAATTAACCTCAATCCAACCCTTCTTCTCTTTCACCCCTACTCACTTACTGATCATGCGGCCCTTTGAACAGGGCTGCAACCAACAATTATTGTCATTATTGGTCATTATCGGTTAGTATTATTAGTTAGGTTTTTTTTATGACTAATTGTTTTGTCAGAAAATCACAAGTTCCAAGTGCCAAAGGTGCTTTCTTCAAACTGCTTGTTTTCCCACTAAGAACTCAAAGATATTCAATGTCCAATGATGCAAAACAGAGAAAAAACAAATACTTACATGTGAGAATCAGAAGCCAGAGTATGTTTGACATGTGACATGACTCAACTCACTTTTCAAAATCTTGTTTTTCTTTACTGTCAATAAATGAATCAACTAATCACTTGAATACTATTTTGAAATATTACTAACGGGACCGTTTTAGCATATGAGCTTTGATTGGATAATCACCACCACTTCATAGGCTGGATGCCAGCCGCCTCTGTTTACATGAACCCATTTAAATACATTACTTTGATGGATCAGGATCTGTCTGGTCCAGGCGATGAAACATTCATGAATTCCCAGAGAGTCTGTAGTAGTGCCAGTCCAAAAAGTAAGTCAAGCTCTAGGAAATATTATACTATCTATGCTGATTTTGTGCAAAATTTCCATGCAGTGAAACTCTGTTTCCACAAAAACCTCCTGGAGGCTGAGTGGATTAAATATATATAATACCACTGGAGGTGTTTGAATCCGTTGCATCACCTTTCCTGTGTCTGCCCTACAGTGACCTTTACATAAAGGGCAAAACACAAAAAATAAGTCATGAAAAATATCTCCACCACCTCAGAAAGGTACCTTTGCCTCAGCACCGAATGAATGTGGCCATTATTACGGAGAACACATCCTCTTTTCAACTTCATTTGCACTTTTCACACAACCCTGCAATTCATTTGGGAGGAGAATTAATTTAAGCTTGAGTCTAATGTTGAGACAAAACGCTCAATGATCCAAATACCACCCCACTTGTCCTCAGAGTTTTTGGTTTAAGTATCGTACCTGTGATGTCGAGTGGTATGAAGTGGGCCGGCGTGCGTCTCCCCAGGTGCCAGCGGGGTTTCTCTGCGACAGGCGGTCCGGCGTTAGCGGACGTGGTGGTGGTGCTGCTGCTGCTGTTGTTACTGCTCCAGCCCAGAGGGGGGCGATCTGAGCCGCAGGGGGACGGGGACGGGGAGGGAGACGGGTCAGTCACTGACCTCAGGCCAAACACCAAGGAGGTGGTTTCATCCTCGTACAGCTGTTTGGAGGCCGGCTGGAGGAAGAGGAAGAACGGTCATGTTAAACTTGGTTAGCAATGTGAGCAATTTACCTAGCTTGTTTACAACATCTGGGCATTAGCGCGCCGTCTGCTGGGGCTGCTGTTAGCAGCAGGTGGCTGCATAACATCTCAGAGGAAACAGGTAACGGGCTTGTACATGAATAAAATACCAATTATTAGTTGAACCGACAAGTATTTCTGGTACTGAGTAGCAACATTAGCATCGTTTAGTCGACTAATCTAAAGCCCTTCAACCAAAATAAAATGTTTTGTCCTCTTCAAGCTAACAGTACCAACAGAAGCTGAGAGAAGTAAGATAACAGAGGCGAAGTGAAATAAAAAATGATGAAATGAAGCACAGTTCATGTGTTATTTTCAAATCTCTTTCAGTCAGAAAAGAGAATTAATGTGTAAGAAAGAGTAACAAATCTTAAAAGTGATGGTTTACATTTTTAAACCAGGGCAAAGGGAAACATCGTAAAAAGAAGCAGAAGAAGAGGAAGTGAGGAGAAAAGGCAGAAATATGGGAAACGTCTGTTTCGATCTGATTAGCCAGCAGGGACAGAGGCTGACATGAAGCAGAGACATTGTTGGTTCAGTCCCTGGCATCAAACGGGAAGGTGTAATCCCAGCTGGGAGGGAACTGGCATCTGTCAACTGCCTGGTATTTAATCTGAGGTATCAGACGTCACTGCCAAATTGCCCTTAAGCAAGGCACTGAAACCCAAACTGCTCCGGGGCTGCTGCAATGCAGGAATCACTCCAGTCCGTCCTCTCATGGATGAAATCTGTGTGTGTGTGTGTGTGTGTGTGTGTGTGCGTCTGTACGGTGGAAATTGAAATCTCATGAGAATGGGCCAAATTCTAATTGAAATTAGCCCAAACGAAGAGGAAGGCACTAACTTTCTAACAGAGCTGGTTAACAGCTTGCTGAAGGAATGGTGTGTCAATATACAGGAAATGTGCAGCCATCTTGCAGTAAAATCCCCGTGGGGGTCCATCAAGCTGCCATAATGACACAGTTCAGGAAAAACAGCCTGAGAACTATTAGCAGCAGAGCCAGAGGCGGGAGAGAGCGAAAACAGAGAGGAAAACCTGCTCTGAAGAACGAGTGTGTTTCACAGATTCAGGTTCAGTTTGGATCATTTTAGAAGATCAACTACACTGATATTCTGTTAGTCCCTAAAACGCATATTTATATCCTCTTTTAGCTTAAAAAAAAAAAAAATCAGTCTGTGCTTCCGTGTGAAGGAGCTGACTAACAAACAGCACTGATGTCATTTGCTATTTAGATTTTTTTCTCACCACGTATTAATTATATTTCCATCTGGAGGAAGCGATATCATTTGGCATTTGTTTATGGAAACCTGCTGAGAGTGTGAAAAGGATGATGACTAATTCTGACAAATTTGATGGAGGGGGCGGGGTGTACTGTACAATAGTTTGCGGATAATTCGGCTTCGGTCTTTTACATCAAAGTGATGACAACAAAAGCAATGAGGCATTTTGTCACAACACATATAGTTGAAACAGTATTAGTGATACTTAAATAGTAATTTGTTCGCTACTAGGGGAAAAAAATACTGTTGTGTTACTGATTAAAGGCTGAAGCTAAAGTAGTGTCTCAGTAAAGGAGAAGCCAACAGTCAACATGGCTGATAAATGTCACTTTGACATTCAAGTTATAATCTTTAAAAGTCATGGTTGACTTGGAGACAGTGATTTAGTGTTACATGAACTTCCATTCAAAATGACAGGGGTAGCATTCATAATGCAGAAGCTGCTGTCTTCCGCACTGCGTGTAATAGCGCACATGCACCAGCTTTTATCCTCCACACGGTGTACAGCATGTGCACGTTCTGTTTTCCTGTGAATCTCTCGTTCAACATTATTCAAACAATCAATTTTTGTCATACGTGAATCATAGAAGGTAACAATTGTGATTCTTGTGCGAGTCGATTTTTTAAGCCACCTGAAAATGACTGGCTGTATTCACGTAAGTATTTACTGCACCACCGCAATTACAGAGAAATTATAGCAATAAAGGTTGAAATATGAATAAAGCTGCACGCACAAGATCGATAAGGTTGAATTCAATTAAATAGAGAGATCAAATAGTTGATCACCCTGCCGAGTTGAATCGAAAGAAGATAATGTGCGATTGACAAAACTAATTTAGGCGTGTGCAGTCCACTCGCCTTTGAAATGAGGTGGGTATCAAACAGGAAGTCTGATGTCTGGTGTTGAATAAGTTTAGAAATAAACTGTGTAGGAGAAATAAAGAGAGGAGGAGAGTAGAAACCAGAGAGTGGGATGGAGTGAGTTAGCGTGAGTTTAGTGGAGATGTGACGTCTGGTCTGTTCTGGGAGAAGAGCGGAGAAGACAAGTGAGGTGGGCATGGGTTGGTTTCTGAGTGTGTGTGTGTGTGTGTGTGTGTGTGTGTGTGTGTGTGTTTAGCTGCAGGATGAATTCAGCTTTCAAGGTTTCAAGAAAAGAGGTGGACAAGTGTGAGTTTCTGTGCTTTTTCACCTGTGGAAAAGAACGTTTATTTTAAAATAAGAGGTGGGAATTAGTGTGTGTGTGTGTGTGTGTGTGTGTGTGTGTGTGTGGCTTCAAATAATCATATAAGAAACTTGAATGCATGTGTGTTTGTTTACCAGTGAGATGACATTTGGTGTGAGGGAGCCTTATGATCAAATAAGACAGGTGTGAACCTGAGCGTGCATGCGTGTGTGCGTGTGTGCGTGTGTGCATGTGTGTGTGTGTGTGTTTACCAGGAAGATGAAGTCAGGTCTCTTGTTGTTGAGGGAGATGGGCGATCGGCTGAGCGAGGTGGACGTGTCGTCAGAGCTCTGCGAGGACGGATGCCGGAAAGTCTGACCGGTCAGCTTGGTGTCGTACAACTGCTCCTCAAAGTCTGCACGCACAAACACACACACACACACACACATTCAAATGCACACACACACGCATGCACACACACACACACACAAGCACACAAACAGACAACAAAAAGAGTACGCCCTTAAGTTAGTGTCAACTTTCTGCAGCACAAAAACAACAGTGCACGCAAATGCACACATGCAAACAGCAATAAAACTGCACACACACACGCACGCACGCACACACACAAACATATAACCTAATCTCACACACCACATATTTTATTTGCATAGTGGAGATCTAGTACAACTGCTGCTTTGCATCACCCTGCAGTTTCCCTCCTGTGACTCCTGGTGCAGCTTCTGCTCTGGAACCTTAAAGGACTCCTTAAGTTTCTTTTTAATCCTCTCGTGAGCTCCGGCGTTTTCTCTACTTTCATTCATTCCTTCTCTTCCGCTCTTTCTCTATCTCTCTCTCTCAGTCTTTTCTCCTCTTTCTCGCCTCTTCTTGGGACTTTTTCTCTCACTCCTCCTCTTGATATCTGACTGTTTCTCCCTCTCTGGCAGCTTAGACGACTCTCCCTCAGGCCATTGTAAACAGATTCCTAACCCCCACCTCCTCTTCTTTCTCTCACTGCAGACACACACACACACACACACACACACACACATACACACATACACACACACACAAACCACACTCCCCCTCAAAACCCCTCAGCCAATCCTTTACCCCAAAACACACTCCCTATCCACTCCCCACTCTCCACTCATCCCTAAAGCCATCTAACACACACACACACACACACACACACACACACACACACACACACACACACACACACACACACACACACACTCACAAACTCCCAGCACCATCCCGCTGGCAGCTTTAGTGGAACAGCAGCGTCAGTGAGGTATAGAGTTTTTGGGTTGAACTTGCTCTCCTAAACAATATGGATTCTTTCGTGGTTGGCGTACGGTTGCCTAGCGACGCAAGGGAGGAGGGGGGGGGCGGGTTACAACAACATTCTCACCCACCAGAGAGGGGTCAATGGTAACCTCTGATGTGTTGATACTGGGAAAGTATAGTCATATAGAAATCATGAATTAAAGAAATTTTAGCATTGATAAATAAAAAAAAATAGATGACACCAAAATAAATAAATAAAAATCATTATTCCAGTTTTAATCGGCTCATTTTCTTTACGACACAAAACAGGAAGTGGGTGCTGTAAAAGATCAGCAACTTATTTTTACTTTCGCCATGTTTGTTTAGACAATAAAAATCTCTTTTGCGACAGAAACATGACAAGTTAATGTTATCAGTTTAAGAGGATTAATGAAGTAATTGAAGGTGAATTAATCAGAGGGCAGTTCACACTTTTTTTCCTTACATAACAGGGACTGCATGAAAAAAGATTAGTAATATTAATACAGTTATGACTGAGAAAATGTACTGTAGCTAAGCTTTCAGTATCTGGCTGAGAGTGCCTGACACTAACTCCGTTTTTAAATTAGTAATAATTTTAAAAATGTTTAATTTTCTTTATCCAAAATTAGAGGAACTTTTACAGCCTTAAAGCTGCACTAATCAATATTTTTTTATATTAGCAGTGGATCAAATGACTGTGTGTGATGTGAAAGCAGAGACTTGTAGTAACGAATCCACAGAGAATCATCACCTGACTCTCTGGCTCTGTGGCTCCATGCAGCTTTACGGCGTCTTTCCGCACGTTGTTTTGGGTTTTACCACAAATGCACTATTTTGGTTCAGTCATTAATTCGTCAATACTTTTTCTAGCAACAAACTTATTATATATAAAGCACTAGGTAGAAAAGAAAGTTGGCAAGTAGCTGGTAAAGACAGTAGCTGAGCATCCAGATGAATACCTAATTTACATGAAGAAAACAACCCAAAAAAACAACTCCAAATGAATGCTAATGTTTCTACTGAATGTGTAAGTGTTTGCTTTAAGATAAATGACTTGTTATGCCGCCCCCAAGTGGACAGAAAGTCTATTAATCTTTCTTTAAAAAATAAGAAAGAAGAAAAAGTGGCGTAAAAACTACAATTTCTGAATGAATCATCGTCGTGGTCGTCGGTCTGGCTGATCGCTGAGACCTGCTGAACCATCTCGCCTGCTGGACCTTACAGGGCGATGGCATCTGCTTTTAAACTCAGCGAGCCGCAGTGGTCTTAAGTCTCTGCCGCAGCGCCTTGCAGCCTGGTAAACACATTCAAACACGTAGGTAGTTTTTACGGAGAGTTTGGCAGGTGTCAGATTTACGTGAGTGCAGGCGACGTGGGAGTGTTTTTGAGTAATGAATATAGAAATTGTGAATAGAAATTAATACACAGCAGCAGCAACACCACCGGATACAAAAGGATAATGATGTGTTTTTACATGAGGGTAGACAGTCCACCCACCCACAGATTTTGTGCAGTTTTTAATGGCATCCGGGATCATTGCTGTCGACATCTTCCCTCTGATAAACTAAAAAGTGCCAGCGGGAGGAAAACGTCAATAGGACCTTACTTGTTGTCAACGCAATTATGCATTTAAACTTGAGAGAAAACACGGGACACAAGCTTTTCCACACACACACACCGAAACTTTAACAACCTTAAGCATGAATGGAGATGATGCACTCGATTTCTGTCTGTCGTCTTTTTCAGCTCAGCCACTGAGCACTGCGGAGGTCGTATGGTGAAGTTTGAAAGTGCTTTCTAAACTCAAGGACGGTAGATAGTGTTTCACCGAGAGATACTATCCTTCAACTGACGTGTAACCATGACAATAAAAAACCAAAAAAAACAAAAACAAACTGGAGCAACAAGGTTTTTACAAGATGAGAATTACACATTGTAGGATGCTCCTTGTTTTCTGTCCCCGAGGTGACACCGAAAACAATTTCTCACCACGTGTCGACAGCTAAAGTTTTATTCTCTTCTGCTTCATGTGGGGAAAACAAACAAATAACAGCAAGTGGGAGAACATCAAGAGCTGCGGGACAGGAAAAAGAAAGGGAGGAGAAGCTGCGATGAGATTTGTGTGGTCAAGATGGTGGTTTGGTTTGAATGCAAAAATTCTTCCAATTGTTTAAAGAACGTTTTTTTTGGGGACATGGACTGAGCAACCTGCCCTCTCTCAGCCCGAGGCTAAAGCATTCCTGTGCACACTCCATCCAATTTAATCTGGTTTGGAATTAAAGCTCCCACACAAGGGCTTTCTCATTAATCCCAATGAGCATCACGCACACTTCTGCTAGCTCAAGAACAGTTAGTGTAACTCTGCTGCATCGTGACTCACAGTGGCTGGTGTGCTGTGCTGCAGCTGCCGTGCTTTTACTGTTAAAAGCTGCGCCAGTTTCTTATACATCACAAGTCAAAGTTAATCTAATAATGGGAAATAAATTGTTTACTAACACGTTTATTAACCCTTTGATAAGGACAAATTCTGGGTTGCAAGGTTGTGAAAAATCTCCTCCATATGGTGAATCCACCAACCATCATTTTTAGTGAGTAATCAGGCCTTTTATAATGACGCAAGTGTCCCATACAGTATAAAGGTAGGTGTCCATGTGTAGTGTGATTATAGATCAGCTCTAGCTTCTATATTAATACTGTGAAAGTATCAAAGCCTCAGTCCACAGAGAAATGCACACAGCCTGTATTCAGAAACTGAGCCTTAAAAGTTTTAAGGCTCAGTTTCTTTTTTCTTTTTTAAGTTAAAACCAGCCGTCAGGACTTCTGGAACTTTGTGATGTCACAGCAAAGCAGTCACCAAGCCCCGGCCACCTGGACCCACCATCCAACCTTGCAGGATTTGGTTCAGTGTTTTACCTGACATTTGCTATATTTTTATTTCATCACTCAGAAAACACTGAGCCAATAAGAAGCGAGACTCAGAGCCTCCTCTCTTCTGATTGGCTCACCGACCTGTTGTTACCAGAGCTCCAGAGAGAAGCCTGAGAGAGGAGATGTAAAACTACACTGAGATGGTTTTTGGTTCTTGAAACCACAAATATATCTTCTTATGGATCAACACTTCGAAATAAAACACTGGAGAAAAATAAAATATGGAGCTTTAACTAACATGAGCCACTGCAGATTTAATAGCTTTGTCTTCTTTGTTGTGATATTTCATATTAATCATGTGAATGCAAATGTGGTGCGCATCAAATTCTCTCTGTTTGCAACAGAAGTTTAAACATAAATATTAATGATGACAGGATAAACTGAGAACTTGTTTGTTCGCCACATTTGCCAGTTCCTTGGGAAACTATTAGATGTTTCACTTTGTAAGCGCTTGCTTCCCTGGATATTTGTATTCATAGCGGCATATTGCTCACACACCCGGTGCTCATGATAGAGAACTGTCTATTTTGCAGTGTTAAAAATAATTGATTAAAAAACTTCCTGACTGCTGCATGCAAAAACAGCAGGATCAGCCGGATAGTAAACAGTGAAGCAGAAGCCAAAACTCGTCTCATCCAGACTCTGCAGCGGCTCCCGAAGAAGTGAGGCGTCAGCAAGAGTCCGAGAGACACAGGGGGTAAACAGACTGATAAGGAAGAATAGGGAGAGCGAGAGGAGGAGGAAGAGATCGGAGGAGGTGAAAGGGATGAGTATGATGCAGAGGAGGGGAAGGACGTAGGACGAGAAAATGAAGAAGAAGCACAGGTGGGTGAGGAAGAGGCAAAGGAGGAAGTAGAGGAAGGGAATGATGGGAGAAAAAAAAAAGAAGTTTTCAAGAAGCAGACAAAGAAAGTGAGCAGAGAAGGATCATTAAAGAGATGCAGAAGAAGAGGAAATAATGAGAAGTGTGATGAAAAGGAAGCACATGAAATGAGGGGAAGAAACTGAAAATCGAGAAGCTAAATTGAATAAAGAGACAAATGAAGAAAAGTTACATGAAAAGAGGTGGAGGGTAAAAAGGTAGCTGCTGAAGCCTGATGAGAGAAAGTGCGGCAATAAGAAGAGAGAGGGAGGTTCAGTAAGAAGCAGAAACTGATTAGGAAAAGGCAGATG